CTATATAAATATGTTCCACTTTTTTTTTTGTTGTTTTCTTTCGTCTATTGAGTTTTTATTATTGTTATTATTGTTATTATTTTATTATTTTTTATTATTTATTATTATTATTTAATTTCTCTTCGTCTATTACAGGCAACATACTTATTGATCTAAATTTTTATAATTTTCCCTTTCTTTCAATTTCTCAGACAATTAATTCTCTTTATCATTTTCCCTTTCTCTCTTAATTCTCTTAATTCTTTCGCAACACAATAAAAAAATAGATCGACCAGAATTTTCCTAAGAGGGAAAAAAAGAAAAAAATCTTAAAAGACGAGGGAAAATAAGGCGGGAAATGTCCTTCGCCAAGCTCGTTCCCAATACGTCAACTTATTTGAGGTATTCCTAACCCCCCCCCCTCCTTCTCCCCACCCACTCCCCCTCGTTCTCCCCGATTACACCCCCTTCCCGCCTATCTTCTAACACACCCCCCTCCCCTCCCCCCCTCCCCCATTCCTTCTCCCCCCCCACACCCCCTTCCCCCATCCTCCCCGCACCCCCCTCCCCCATCTTCTTTCCCCACTCACCCCTCCCCTATCCTTCTCCCCACACACCCCCTCCCCCCATCCTTCTTCCACACACCCCTCCCCCCATCCTTCTCCCCCACACACCCTTCCCCCATTCCTTCTCCCCACACCCCCATCCCCCATCCTTCTCCCCACCCACTCCCCCCTCCCCTCCTTCTCCCCCCTCCCCCATCCTCTCCCACACACCCCTCCCCCATCCTTCTCCCGCACCCCTCCCCCCTTCCTTCTCTCACCCCCCCCCTCCCCCCACTCACCTCCCCCTCTCCCCCACCAAGGACACCAGCGACTCGAACTACCCGAGCCGACTACTGCTACAAAAGTGCGCCCGATCCCTATCACCTCAGCCGTAAGATATTTTACGGCTGTCTGGGTCCCTGTCAGATGTGTCAGCAACAATACGTGAAGCGATGTTCCTTCGGCGGAGGGGAGGGGGTGGGAAGTGGGGTGGGTTGGGGGGAGGGGTGATTTCGGTGGAGGGGGTGGGGGGGGAGGGGGGGGTAGGGTAGCGGGTCTAGGAACATTTTTCTTTCGTTATTTGATGCTGCTTTGTTGTTGTTGTTGGTTTTGTTTGTTGTTGTAAGTTCTTATTTTTTTCTTCTTCCCTTCTTCTTCATCTTCCTCTTTTCTCTCTGTTTCTTCTTCTTTCTATCTTCCTCTTCTTCTGCTTCTTAATTGTTCTTTTTTTTTCTTTTTCTTCTATTTCTGTTTAGCTTTCGCTTTTGTTTCGAAGACGTTTCTCAAGGTTCCTGCTCATTCCTCTGGCCTGTTCCTCTCTCCTCTCTCTCTCTCTTCTCTCTCTCTCTCTCTCTCTCTCTTCTCTCTCTCTCTCTCTCTCTCTCTCTCTCTCTCTCTCTCTCTCCTCTCTGTCTCTGTCTCTGTCTCTCTCTCCCTTCCCTCCTCTCCACTTCTCCTCTCCCTTCTCCCTCCTCCCTCTCTCCCCCTCCATTCCCTCCCTCCCCTCCTCCCTCCCCTCCCCTCCCTCCCTCCCTCTCCATCTCCCTCCCTCTCCTCTCCTCTCCCTCTCCTACTCGTCGGCTTCAGGTATTTCGCTCCGAAGAGATCTTCATCGTGATAATATTGTCCACAGCGACTGGACCAGCAGCTGGGAAGGCGAGCGAGGGGCGAGGGAGGGAGGAGAGAGCAGGAGGCTCGGAACCCCCCGCTTTTTCCATTTGATTTTGTCCTTTTGTTTTTTTTTTGGGGGGGGGGGGCCTTTGAACCACAATTTCACTCGATCCTTTAATGAGCCAAGCGCTCTCTCTCTCTCTTCTCTACTCTCCTCTCTCTCTCTCTTCTCATCTCATTCTCTCTCTCTCTTCTCTCCTCTCTCTCTCTCTCTCTCTCTCGTCTCTCTCTCTCCCTCTCCCTCTCCCGTCTCCCATCTCCCTCCTCTCCCTTCCTTCTCGCTTTCATGCGTGGCTTGGCGGAAATACGTCGGGTCATTTTCCTTCGGTTTTCTTTTTTGGTTTCTTCTGTTTCCTTTTTCTTCCTGTTGGATTCTGCTGCGTTTCTCTTCTCTTCTTTTTTCCATTCCTTCTCCTGCTTCTTTCTTCAGGTTCTTTTCCCAATATCCTCCTTCTCCTTCTTCTCCTCTTCATTTTTCTCTCCTTTCCCTCCTTCCTCCCATTCTCCTTACCTCTTACGTTCCCTTTCTTCCATTCTCTTCTCCTCCCTCGCCCCTCTCCATCCCTCCTCTCCTCTCCTCCTTTCTCCTTCTCCCATCTTCCATTCTCCCTTCTCTCCTCCCCTCTCCATTTCTCTTCCCTCCCCCTCCTCGCCTTCCTCTCCATCCTCCTCCTTTCCTCCTTCCCCTCTCCCTCTTCTCCGCCGAATTCTAGCTAAGTCATCGCGTTCGCATCTCCCGCGAGGGCGAGAGCGCGCGCGTGTAGTAGCGAGCTCAACCCCGGCACGCCACTCGAAGCTCCAGCCAAGCATGTGACATCGAGACGAAAGTCCGAGGAAGATAACCCAGTCCGCGTCCCTCTCCTTACCCGTTTTCTTTGATGCGGAACGGTCATAAAAAATGGGATCCGATCGGCGTGTTCCTGAGCCTCTTGTTCTTAACTGCTTCTCTTTCTCTCTTCTCTCTTCTTCATGTTTTGTCTCTCTTTTCTGTTTGGTTTTGTTTGTTTGTCTTTTGTGTTTTTTCGGGAGCTTCTTTTGGATTTTCTTCCTATTCTTTTTTTTTCTTATTTCTTCTTATTCTTATCCTCCACCTCATCCTAATTCCTTCTTCTCGTCCTCTCTTGCATACTCTTACTCCCTTCTCCCTACTTCGTCTTTCTCTCCACTCTCCTCCTCACTTTCTCCTCTTCTCTCCTCTCTTCTTCCTCTCCTCCTCTCCTCTCCTCCTCTCTTCCTCCTCTCCTCTCCTTCCTCCTCTCCTCCTCCCTCCTTCTCCTCCTCCCTTCTCCTCTCCTCCCCCCTCTCCTTCCCTCCTCCCCCTCCTCCTCCTCCCTTCTCCTCCTCCTCCTCCTTCCTCCTCTCCTCCTCCCTTCCTCCTCCCCCCCCCGGCCCCACTGATTTGGCCGCCAACTCCCGTCCATCTCGGGGCCAAGAAGCGGCCGATGCAGTGAGATCGAACCCGCCCATGACCGATCCTTCCTGTCGAATCGGAATCCAAGAAGGGGGATCGGGGTGTGTCATTCTCCGCTAATTTGGCGCCATTTTTGTGTTCGTTCGATGCTCTCTTTTTTCTTTTTTTTTTTTTTTCCTTTTTTCTAGTTTTTGTTTCTTGTTTTTTTCTTTTTTCTTTTTTTCCTTATTTCTTGTTTTTTTCTCTTTTTTTTATTTTTTTTTTTTTGTTTCTTTTATTGAGGGTGATGGGCGTTCGTATACAGTTGTGTGAACAGATTTTCTTCGCCTTTTGCGTTTTCTAAGGGGCGGGGGGGGTGGGGGGGATAAGAGGTGGAGGCTGTGTGTGTTGTGTGTTGTGTTTGTGTGTGTGTGTTGGTGTGCGTGTGTGTGTGTGTGTGTGTGTTGTGTGTTGTGTGTGTGTGTGTGTGTGTTTGTGTGTGTTTTATAACTTGTACCCGTTGAGTATGTGTGTGCGTTCGCATTTACAATCGGGACTCATCTCTCGATTGTCCTTTCTCATGCATGCTTAGCGAGTCATATTTTCTCTCCCCATCTTCTCGCACTTCTCCCCTCTTGCCTCCTCCCCCCCTTCTCAACCCTTCCCCCTTCACCTCCGTCCTCTCCCCCTTCCTCCTCCCCTTCCCCCTCCTCAACCTTTATACTGCACCTCCGTCCTCCTGTCCTTCCAACCGCTTCCTCCTCTCACTCACTCCTTCCCTCATTCCCCTTCCCTCTCCTCTCTTCCTTCCCCCTCGCCTTCCCCCTTCCAACCCTTCCCCCCCCCTCCCCCCTTTCCACCTTCCTCTTCCTCTTCCCTCCCTACCTCCCTTCCTCCTTCCCCTCCCCTCCTTCCTCCTCCTCCCCTCCTTCGCTCCTTCCTCTTCCTCCCTCCTTCCCCCCTCCCTCCCTCCGCTCCCTTCTCCTCCTTCCCCTCCTATCCTTCCCCTCCCTCCCCCTCCCTCCTCTCCCTCCCTTCCCCCCCCTCCCCACGATCCATGTGAGGTATTGTGGGTCTCGCGAAAGAAATTTATGACGAGTGGATGTTGCTCCTAAGATAATGGTCGCGGTCCTCCTCCTTCGCAAGAAATGGAGCCAAGACGTCCGGTTTCAGCGAGGAGGAGGGAGGAGCAGGGGGGGGCTTCTCTTGTTTTTGTTGTTGTTATGATTTATTATTTATTATTATTTATTGTGATTTATGATTGTTATTGTTATTGTTATGTCAGAGAGGGGGTCTTCTCTTGTTTTTGTTGTTTTTTTATGATTTATTATTTATTATTATTTATTGTGATTATGATTGTTATTGTTATTGTTATTGTCAGAGAGGGTCTTCTCTTGTTTTTGTTGTTGTTGTTATGATTTATTATTTATTATTATTTATTGTGATTATGATGTTCTGTTATTGTCAGAGATGATGATTTATTATTTTATTGTGATTGATTGTTATTGTTATTGTTATTGTCAGAGAGGTCTTCTCTTGTTTTGTTGTTGTTTGTTGTTATTTTTTATTTTATGATTATTAATATTTTATGATTGTTCTATTTTTATTATTTTATTATGATTTATTTATTTTATTATTTTTTATTTTATGATTTATTTTTTTTTCTTTTATTTTATGATTAATTTTTTTTCTTTTATTTTATGATTTATTTATTTTATTATTTTTATTTTATGATTATTATTACTGTTACTCTTATTATTATTGTTATTGTATAAGAGGCAGGGAGGGTCTTCTCTTTTTTTGTGTTGTTGTTATTATTTTTAATTTTTATTATTATTACTGTTATTGTTATTGTTATTAATAGAGCAGGGACCTCCTCTTGTTTTTGTTATTATTTTTATTTTATGATTATGATTATGATTATTGTTATTGTTATTGTTATTGTCAGAGAAGGGTTTTCTTTTCTTATTTTTGTTGTTTGTTATTATTTATTTTTATTTTGTTATTATTTACTGTACTCTTATTTCTATTGTTGTTGTTCTTTGTTTTTGTTGTATTGTTATTTTCTATTTTTTATTAATTATTTATTTTGTTGTTGCTGTTGTTTTTGTTAGAGCAGGAGGGTATTCTCTTGTTTTTGTTGTTGTTATTATTATTTTTTTATTTTATTATTACTGTTACTGTATTGTTATTGTTATATTTTATTTTATATCATTATTACTGTTACTGTTATTATTTTATTATTGTTGTGTGTTTGTCATTTGTTGTTATTATTTGCTATTGCTATTATTGCTGTTGCCGTTACCACTATTGTTATATTATTATTATTACTATTATTTACTGCTATTGCTATATCGTTATTTATGTAGATATATTGTTTTCGTTATTATTATTATTTCTTTTCGTCTTTCTCTTCTTCTTCCTATCTTCGGTCTTCCAACTGTAATTTGTATTAGTGTGTGTGTGTGTGCGTGAATATATATTTATTTATGTATTTATTTATTTATTCATCCATTTATATTTTCATACACGAATACCCACATGTACGTATTTGCGTGCGTGCATATTTGCCTAAGCTTGCAAATTAATTCTTCGTATTGTGAGTGCCTGTGTGTGCGCGTGTGTGCTGTGTGTGCGCGTTGGAGTTCCGTGTGCGTCCGCGTGTGTTACGTATAGAGTCCGAACTTGATACTATTGTGGGTTTTTGTGGCCGCTTGGAGATAATTTTTCCATCACTTTTTTTTTTTTTTTGAGGGGGGAGGGGGGAGGGAAGGAGAGAGAAGGGGACGGTAAGGAGTTTTTTTTTTTTTTTTTTTTTTTTTTTTTTTTGAGGGGTAACAGGGGGGAGGTGGAGAAGATAAGGGGCAGTGGGGAAGGGAGGGATGGATGGAATAAAAGGAAGAGGGAAGTATGAGAGAGAAAGGGGAAAAGGGATAAAGAAGGAGAGGGGAGAAGAGAGAGGGGAGAAGAGAAAGACGGGAAGAAGAGAGAGAGGAAGAGAGAGAAGAGATAGAGAAAAGAGAGAAAGAGAGAGAAAAGAGAGAGAGAGAGCCCGAGAGGAGAGTAGAGAGAGAGGAGAGAAGAGACAGGAACAGAGCGAGTGAGAGAGAGAGGAAGGCGGATACAAGGGAGAGACGGAAGGAGTCACTGAGGAATGGAGAGGAGGAGAAAGAGGGGGAAGAGAAAGGAGGATAACGAGGAAGAGAGGAAGTGGCAAAATCGAGAAAGAAGGGGAGGAGGAGGAGGCGAGGGAAGGGCGGGAGGAGAACAAGGGAAGGCATGAGAAAAGGAAAAGGACAAGGAGAAAACAAGAGAAAGAATACAAAGAATTCGAAAGAGCGAATGATAGTCGCAGAGGAGAGACGTTTAGGAAAACGGCAAAGGAGGAGAAAACAGAGAGGAAAGGATAGAGGCGAGAGAGAGAGGGAGACAGACGGGAAAGGAGAAGAGGAGAAGCAAGAGAGAAGAAGAAGAAGGAGAGAGGGAGAGAAGAGAGAGTGGGAGCAAGGAGGAGAACAAGAGAGGAGAGGGAAGGATGACGGGATAGAGAGAAGAGGAGACCTAGAGGAGAGAAGAGAGGGAGAGGGGGGTAGAGGAAAGAGCAGCCAAAGAGAGGGGAAAGAGGTGCGGTATAGAGGAGAGAGACGAGAGAGCAAAGAGGAAGGCTGACTTAAGAGGGAGAGAAGGGAGGACCGGGGGTACGAGGAGGAGAGAGAGGGGGAAGGGGCGTAGAGGGAGGAGAGGAGAGGGGAAGAGAGGGAGAGAAAGAAGAAGGAGAACGGCGTGGATAGGAGAGAAAAGAGAGGCAGGGAAGACGGAGGTAGGAAAGGGAGAGGAAAGAGGGAGGAGGAGAGATAAGAGAAGGGAGAACGGGAGTCGAGAGGAGACGACGAGAGAGATGGGAGAGGGGGGAGAGGTAGAGGGGGTAGAGGAGAAGAGAGAAGGAGACGCCGGTAGAGAGGAGAAGGAAGAGTAAATGAGGACGGGTAGAGGGAGAAGGCAAGGGAGACGGGGTAGGGGAGAGGGGAGGGTAGGGGAGGAGAAGAGGGGGAACGGGGCGAGGACGGCGAGAGGGAGAGAGACTCGGGTTAGAGGGAGAGAAAGAGAAAGGGAGATGGGATAGGAAGAGAAAAGAGAGGGAGAGGGGAAG